TTAGACACTGTGCTAGAAGCAGGTGACTCAGAGATCAATAGGGAATTGCATCTCCCTTTACATTCTAAAGAGGCCACTAAATAGGTAAATTCAGTAGATGATGGAACAAATAGTATCATGGAGGTAAGAACCTGTTCTGTAGTGCAGACAAGGGATAGATAGCCCAGACTGACTCAATATGGCTTTCTGGGGAAATGGTGCGGCCAGAGCCACTTTATGAAACACAGGCTTTGTCACTTTAGAGTCATTCAGGTATTGCTAACCACATCTGTCCCCCATATTTGAGGTGAACTCTGGAGACTTCACTTGAAGGCGAAGCAGGTCCCTGATTTTATGAGGATGGTAAACAGAGGATGAAAATCAGATGGAATTTTTAGGTCAGATGTAAGATCTTTAATGTCATCAAAAGTTGTTTGGTGGTGATGGTGAGATGGAGAGCTCTGATGGCAGCTGGAGGACCAGGTAATAAACAAGTTCCTCTTGGTCATTTTCCCTTATCTGTTTTTTTTTTTAATCAACAAAATAAATGGTTTAGTTTGAATAGTAACAAAATAACAGCTATTTCTTACTGTCTGACTTCAATGCTGTTAGATCCTTGCACATACATTAATTCATTTAATTCTCACAATGAACCTATATAGTGACATAAAGATATTTTTCTTTCCCTCTTTATATTCAAGAGATTTGAGATAATTATAATCTGCATAAAATCCCAAAGTTAAGAAGGGGCAGAAGTAGAATTCCAACATAGCTCTTCCTGACTAATTGCTTAGACATCTCCTGAGATAGTTCCCAGCCTTAATATTCTTTCATTTCTGAATTATCTTGGAATGCTGCCTTAATTGCTATATTGACCACACAACAAAGCCTGGGGAAAACAAGGATCCAGGTTATGTATGCTCCTTTCACATACATGCACCCTTGTGAATGAGCTCTGGAAATCACAGGGAATTTTGCTATCAAGTTTTCACATTAACTTTTCAGCAATATTCCCCAGTTTACCAATTAGGAGGGAGGTCTGTCTTCTCCTTGGCCTTTGAAAAGTGATCATTTGCTTGACTGCTCTCAACAGAGATCTTCCCATAGCCTCTGATATTTTATTTTCATCTCTTCTGGGTTGTTTATTTTTAATTACTTAACATTTTTGAAGCCTCCTACTCTGAATGCATCTCAAACCCAGGGCTAAAAAAGCCAAATGCTTCTATTTTGTTCCCCCACCTTCTATGCAGACAGCCAAAATGAATTTCACAAATGAGCCATGTTTTTTTCACAACTCTGGAATTACACAGGCTGTTCTTACTTCTGGGAGTGGTTCCATCCTTTCACCCGTTTCTTTACATGGCTGAATTTTCATTATTTATGATTTAGACGATCTTGTGAGAAGCTTTCAAGTATTCCCATCTTCACCTTGTTATAGCCCCTTGTAATAGCCCTCATCCTATCGTATTACACGGTGCTCTTTTCTCTCATAAAGCTTCAGGGTGCATAAAGCAGGGAAGAGCTTATCTTCTGCATTTGGAACAATACTGATATAACATAATGTGAAAGAACTTGGGGTCTGTAGTTAGGATATCTAGGGTTAAATATTGCCTTCTGCCACCTAACAGCTATGTGACCTTGGGAAAGTTTCTCACTTTCTTTCAGCCTCACTTACTCATTTGTGAATAGCAGATAATAAGACAACTCACTTCCAAAGATTTTTGTAAGAATTAAAGTGGTCCCTGTAACTTGCTTGGCATGTTTTCTGGTACATACTAAGAGTTCAACAAATGTGATTATTATTAGGTGCTCGAATGTTTAATGATCAATAAAGAAATTAATGTATATATTCAGAAAATATTTATTATTGCTTACTTCATGCTAGACATATTTCTAAGACCTGGAGAAACAGCAGTGAGCACATGAAAGCCACTCTCTGGTTCTACAGAGCTTACATTCTCTTAAAGAGACAAAGACACCAAACACAAAAATAAACATGATATGTGTGCAAATAAAGAAGAGTAAGAGACTAGAAAATTAAAAAGGAAATGTGATTTTAGAGCAGGTAGCCAGGGATGGCCTCCTGATTATCAGATTTATTCACACACTTATATGAAGAGAGGGGTATATCTCTATCTCTGTCTGGGGGAAGAGCAAATGCAAAGGCCCTGAGGATACAGGATTTCTGATATTTTCAAAGAAAAGCAAGTCAACTGGCTCCTTTGGTAGAAGGGGAGTGATCAAAGGCGAGTTAAGGGGGTGGGAATGTTAGGAGGAGAGGGTGAGCATGATAGTGTGACAGAACTTCAGGGCTACTGGCCAGTTAAGGACAATGGATTTCATTCTGAGTGAGGTAGAAAGCCACTTCAGGGTTTGGAATAAGATTACAGCATGAACTGACTGCTTCAGTTGAAAATAAAATAAATAATTAGGAAGAGGGGCACCTTTAGATAGAAAACCATAGCCAACCTATGAAAAGGATGCATTAAAAAGATGGAGTTCAGAAAGATGAAGAATTCACAAACTGGATATATTAAGAGTAAACCTAAATTGATTTTGTGCATAGAAAAGTGAAGACAAAGGCATTGTGACAGGTATAAGACTATGTGTGTATGAATGCAAGCCTGTGGCTAGTTGTCAAGTCTTTACCACATAGAGAACCTTTGAGTATTTATTTTCCACTTAGAGTGCATACTCTGAAACATTTTAGTTGCCAAATATAATCATAGTTAATTCATGCCGCCATATTTTATTCACAAAGGTTGTAAATAACCATCAATCTGAACTTCTGATTGGTGACAGCAAACTAATGTCATCCCTCTTAGAGATACCATTCTAGCCAAGAGCAAATAAACCTCAATTTCTATCAGCCTGTGCTACCCTACGTCAAGTATCATATGCTATCTCTTAGGTTCCTTTAAATACTGAAGATAACTTGAATATTACCATTACTTCTTTGGTGGAATCTTAGGTATCTGTGTGCCATACGTTTGAGATAAAATACTCATGTAAACCTACAAAGTGTGTCGATGTAATGCATTATATATTTATTAAATCATACATAAATATATGTACATATTGTGTATATAATGCTTGTAAATAAGGACATTCACAGCTCTGGGGGTTAGGACATGGATATATCTTTTAGAAAACCACCATTCAAAAAAGTTGGATTGGAAAGAAAAGCTATTACACTGTATTATCTGTTAAGTAGCTAGGATTATTATGGGGTTTTTTGTAAGTATTTTTTAGTGTCTATTTATTTTTGAGAGAAAGAGAGAGCAGGGGAGGAGCAGAGAGAGGGAGACAGAGGATCCAAAGCGGGCTCTGCACTGTGAGCACAGAGCCCAAGGCAGGGTTTGAACTCATGAACTGCAAGATCATGACCTGAACAGAAATCAAGAGTTGGCTCTTCAACCAAACCATCCAGGCACTCCTAGGATTATTATGTTAATATAAAAGACCCCATAAATGGAAGCCCTTGTTATCCAGTCAGAGTATACTCATTCTTTATTAGTACATTATATGACTGAATCATGAGCTCCATTGGGAGCACGAATGTGTCATACATTTGCATCCAATCACATGGACTTGATGGCCTGTTGTGTTCATATGTTTTATCTGTTGATCTTTCAAAAACTGGAAAATGTTACTCTTGAAGATAAATCATTGTCACCGAGGGGAAGATTATGAGGTAGGGGAGAGTGGGGAAATAAAACATGTCTGGACACCTATTCCCAAGGATAGCTCAATATTCATTTATGAGGGCCCTGAAGGCAGGGCTTAGCAGAGAGCAGAGAACATGCCCTTGAGAACAAAGAGGCTAATCTATTACAGAGGTAGAAATCTCTTGTTAGATTGATTCTCCTAAAGGATTGTCATGCTGAGTTTGAGTGCAAGACTCTTTCAGGATCTCTCTAACACTCATTCTAAAAGGCATTTATTAGACATCTTCTAATGCCAGATACAGATATGAGCAAATGAACAAAACAGTTTCTGCCTTCAGGAAACATAAAGCCTGCCGAAGGGCTGAGCAGGAAGGGGTTCTGGGGCCTGGAAGAGAAATGTATGCATTTACTACATTCAAATCTTACATTTTAATTTTTTCAGAACATTTTTAAAAATTAGAAGACAAAAAGCAAGATCTAAAGAATGTTAAGAACTTTAAAAATACCATATTCAAAATTCTTGAAGTACCCTTAAATCTACTTAACAAAGAGTAGAAATTGAATTATATTGGTTGTCCGTGTTTGGTAAACTTGAATTAATTTTAAAGCATCTTTCTAAAGCAGATAAAAGAACCGTTGTTTATTGACAAGTAAATCAAAAGCATTTATAGTTACCGGCTTGTTAATTTCAGCTGACACTGGAGAGCTTCCAGCATTTATATTGAGCCATTTTGATTAGACACAACAACACACAGGGCAGTTGAAACAAGAGTTTCTCTAAAGTGAATTTTTTAGGATGCAAGACATACTTTAATACTTTAATACCATCCCCAAAATTTGAAAATATTTACACATAAATCTGTGAGTTATTTGCAAGAGGTTATCTCACAAGGTATCTCCCTAAAGTATAAGTAGCATTACTGAAGCAATGCTTTCCATTTGGGAAAAAAAATTAACCTCTGCATTATTTTTGTCTACTTCCATTTTAGGCAGAAGCAAACCTACACCTAGGAGAAACAGATGTTGGCAAGTATTTGAAAAATAAATACGTGCCAAAATTTTGGAAATTATCTGTATTAAAAATAACCACAATCATGGTATAATGAATATAATACTTTACTTGGAATTGGGAAATGTGGCATAAATTTTGATCTTTGTCACATACTAGTTATGTGACCTTGTGAAAATCACTTAATCCCACTTAAACATAGTCTTCCCCTGCAAAAAAACTGGGTGAATTAGCATGGAGAAATTAGATTAGAACACAATACCATGTTTGAAAGTGGTCAGGGATCCATACAGGAAAGTTAAAGTAGGCATAATCACGCACTATTATTTTTCAAAAAATATACTTTTTAATTCACTTAAAATTAATATACAGTGTTATATTAGTTTCAGGTGTTCAATAAATGATTCAACAATCCTATACATATTTCAATGCTCATCACTATAAGTGTATTCTTAATCCCCTTTTTATATTTTATCCTTTCTGCCCTCACCTCACTTCTGGCAACCAACAATTTGTTCTCTGTATTTAAGAGCCTTTTTTTTTTTTCGTTGTCTCTTTTTTCCTTCATTTGTTTTGTTTCTTAAATTCCATACATGGGTAAAATCATATGGTATTTCTCTTTCTTGTAGTTCAATTAGCAAAATATCCTCTAAATCTATTCTTGTTGTTGCAAACATCAAGATCTTGTTTCTTTTTAATGGCTAAGTAATAGTCCTCTGTGTGTGTGTGTGTGTGTGTGTGTGTGTGTGTGTGTGTATCTATATCTGATTCCATTTGGAAGGTTATATGTTTATAGGAAATTATCCATTTCTTTCAGGTTGTTCAGTTTATTGGCATATATTTTTTAATGATATTCTCTTATAATCTTTTGTACTTCTGTGATGTTATTTCTCATCCTTCATTTCTGATTTCATTTATTTGAGTCTTCGCTCCTTTTTTCCTGATGAGTCTGGTGAAACACTGATCAATTTTGTTGATCTTTCCAAAGAACCAGCTGCTGATTTCATTGATTTGTTCTATTTTGTTGGTTTTTTTAATTTTGTTTTTATTTTATTTTATTTTATTTTATTTATTTTATTTTATTTTATTTTATTTTATTTTATTTTATTTTATTTTATTT